CACATAGTCTAAAACCAGAAACATAGCCAGAAACTGAAAACATTTGGTGCTTGATCCTCAAGAAAGAGCTACTACTCAAAGTAATTATAACATAATTGCAATGTAATATAGTTTATGTAAAACAGACTTGGGGCACTGTGAAGTACAGGCCTGGTATGACCTGGTGGTTAGGTGCTGATCTTGTAATCTGTAGGTTGTGGGTTCAAATCGCATGACTGAACATATTTGACCTTTCAGATATAGAGACATTATAATGTGCTGATCAATCATGCTTTCATTAGTAAAGAGTAGCCCAAGAGTTGATGGTGCTAACTATTTGTCTGCCCTCTTGTCTGTCACTTATAAATTAGGGACAGTTAGTGCAGATAATGTTCTTGTAGCTTTGCATGAAATTCAACAAACAAACAAACTGTGAAATATATCAGGGGCACAGGCCTCGTGGGTCACAACCCGATGATGCCCTGCTTAGCATTATAGCAGTTCTTATTATCAAGAAAGTAGTGGGCTGTAAGCATGGTCTTTAAAACACAGCAACCTCAGAATTTAGGATTTTAAGTTAATATTGTGATTAATACCCTTTAATAACACATGTAAGTATGCTACTTATATGTAACAATTATTTGAGATGTAATTTGGTATTCTAATGTTTAGATAATACATATGGGAATTTTCTTTTGTTGGTAAAAATTGTAAAGAAATTTTATGGTGAATTTTATTTTTTTCAGTTTGTAAAAAAGATAAATACTTGCCTGGTGGTAGAAATTATTCTACATAACAATACCAATGTAACATAACTCATTTTCTTAGAATTTATTATTCTATAAGACCAGGGTGACAGTATAAACCAGTCAATATTTAACACGTTATTATGACACGTGTCATATGTTGACAAGTGTAAAAGCAAATTTTTAAGTGCTAATTTTTTGTGTTATAAGAACTGATAGATGACAATTTCTTGCTACAAATCAAATGATTGAAAAAAGTACTTTTTTGTTAAAGGCAAAAATAGGTGTTCACAATCAAAGCTTCTGATATTTTTTTTTCCTATGAATTAATTACAAAACAATTAAGAAATATACATGAAATTTAAATACTTCATCAAAGAACATTAGAATCACAAATAGTAAATAATGAAAAAGGTGAAATTTTTTTTTAATAATCTTTGGAAACAGATGAATAAAATGTAATGTATAAGTCCTATATTCCCCAAAAAGTGAAATTATTTCCATGCCAGTAGAATGTTACCAAGCATTCAAGAGTAATTATTAGAATATTTAAATTTTAAACTTAGCTACAAGGTTATAATGTTTATTCAGTAACAATAGTTTTTAAATTCCAAGTTTCATTTGAATTTGGGTTGAAATAAAAAGGTTATAAATCAGACTATTCCCTAGAACAGTTATTGATTCTTATTGCCTTTTTTATTTGTGTGATGCTAGGCTGAGCAAAAGCTGGCAGCTTTAAAAATAGAACATCAAAGGTACGTAGATGAAACTCAGATCAGTATCATTCAACTGCATCAGCTTCTGGAAAAAGCTCATATCGAGAAAAAAGAAGCATTAGCTCAACTAGATGATGAGAAGAGGTCAGTGGCAGTAATTTTTCACACACATCTTCATAAATGCTAATAACTTTATTATGTGTTTTCTTGTTAAAACAAACATATTTTAGTGTATTGTAGCTGGCTGCAGTCAGTATTTCAGTGTGTTAAAATATTAATTTGTAGTGGTTCATGTTTTAGAAAATTACTATATTTTGTGAATGTGTCCCCTCTATAAAGATTCAATACACATTCATTTCACACAAGAATAGAAGTAGCAACAAATAAACTTGCTGAAAACAGACAATAGTGCCTACAGTTAATGACAATATCTTTATTGACAATTAAAATGACCATCTTCTTCTACATTTTTACAGTATTGTAGATGTTTTTGCACTTTATATTAATAGCTTTACAGACTTTCAGAATGGGGGCATTCTGCTTCATATGTTCTATATTTTATGTCGTTTTAAGCACTAAAACTTATGGGGTAAATGCAATGTTCTAAAGCTCATCAGCTTTATGTGTATGTTCCAGAAAAGTTGAAGATTTACAGTTCAGAATTGAAGAAGAGTCAATAGATAAGATTGATTTGGAGGTATGTTCACAGTAAATCATGATCATCTAAAAATATTTTAGCAACTATCAATACATATACTTGAATATATATCTTACTAAAAAAATATTACTGGTTTTAGTCACAACTGCATTTAAATATTTGATTAGAGTGGTAGCGTAAGTACATAATTTGTATAAATGGTTGTACTTTATCAACTTAAAATAGTGCTATTGAATGTAGCACACAAAACCGATTTGTTAAGACATATTTTTTCATTATTGGTTAATAAAATTTTTGAGGATTCCTGATGATGATGGTAAAAAGAAGGTTTATTTGGAGATATACCTTTTCATCTCATTTAAATAGCTCGTTGTATAGCTGGTGATACAAAATAATAAATAATATATTTAAAAGCATGACATAATTTTGTATTTTTTATGCTATCAATCTTTTAATGGTCATAATATCTTTTATGTCACAGTGAATTAAATGTTTTTGATACTTTTCAAAGAAGTAAAGTTAAATAATATCTGATTATAAATATTGACATGAAACATTAAAATCAATTTTTCAAACACTCTTAAAACTGCATGAATTAATTATGTTATATGCTTACTCATGGTTTATTCATAAGTTCAAAATAGTTTATTTATTATTTGTTATTCCTTTCTCCATTGTTAGCTGTATTCTGAATTTACATGAATGAAGTTTGTTTACGAAAAAGAATTAACATTTTGTAATATTTGTCACAACTCATAATTTTATGAATACTTTTAGACTCAGTCCAAACAAGAAAAAGAAAAGATCCTGGAATTAGAGAGACTTTTACATGAAGAGCGTCAACACTTAAGAACTTCAGATTCTAGCAATAATCTGGTATTAGTAATTATTGTGGTTTTTCTCACTGTACTCTAGTATTGCTTGAGATATTCTTATTTGAAAATCAAATGGTATAAATTTATTTTTTTGATAAAGAAAATAACATTCAGGATATTGTAGCTATGTTTTTATTCCTGTTCTTTGAATAACATATATAAAGATACAAAAATCTGCAAGAAATCTTCAGTGATGATTTGAAGTTGTAATATTTAAATGAACTATGTGTGAATATGTTGAAAGATATTGTGTTATACTGGTATGTTGTATTTGAAGTTATATTTAGAAACAAAAAAGAAACTGAACACTTGCTGTATTATGTCACTTAAAGCAGTTTGATATAGTGTCAAAGAGCCAGCATGGTTTCACTAAGGGAAAATCTTGTTTAATAAATTTGACATTCTTTGGGGATTTTACTGCAAGAGTTGATGAAGGAAATACTGTGAATTTGGTTTACCTTGATTTTCAGAAAGCATTTGATAATGTACCTCACAAAAAACTTGTTACAAAAATGAAATCTGTGGGTGTGGGGGAAATGTTTTTAAATTGGATAGAAAGCTGGAGAGTAGAAAGCAGAGAGTAGTGACAAATGGAGTTAGATCTGACTGAATCACAGATACAAGAGTTGTGCCTCAGAGCTCTGTGCTGGGTCCTCTGTTGTTTGTGATTTATGTTAATGATATTGACTCTGGAATGACTAACAACATTTTGAAGTTTGCAGATAACATTAAGATTTTTGGGGTGGCTAACTGTATCAAAGATGCTACAGACTTACATGGAGATTTAATTCATTTGATGCATTTGGCCAATATGTGACAGATGATGTTTTACAATCCAAAATGTAAGGTGATGCATGTAGGTTTTCACAATTCAAATTATTGTTATGATTAAAATGGGAATACATTAAATACTGTGGTTGAAGAAAAAGATCTTGGTGTTGTGATAAAAAAATCACTTAATTAATCTAAACAGTTTATTGTAACTAGCAATATAGTTAATAGGATTTTGGGTAGCCTCTATAGAAATATTGAAGACAAGGGATATTATTGTTTCACTGTATAGATCACTTGTTAGGCTTCATTTAGAGTACTGTGTACTGTTTTGAGCTCTTTTCCTGAAGAAGGACATTGAATTGTTGGAGAATGTTCAGAGAAGAGCCACTAGGATGATATCTGGGATGGTCAGATTGCCCTATGAGGAGAGACTAAAATCTCTAAACTTATTTTCTCTAGAGAGAAGAAGGGTCAGAGGGGATTTGATTGAGGTGTTTAAGATTAGTAAGGGTATTGATAATATAGATCCATCAACCTTTTTGTGTTTAGCAGTGAAAACAATAGGACAAGGGGTCAAAAATTCAAATTTTGGTAGTGTAGGAGTCATTTTAAACAAGGTGGCTGGCTTTTGGAATGAGCTGCCTACAAGGGTGGTGGAGGCAGAAAATTTAACGGAGTTCAAGAAAATGTTGATGACTATATATAAGTAGTAAGGGGCGGTTATAGTTGGGAGCTGGAGGGGACATCCTTGATGGGCTAATAAGCTTCTTTTTGCCCCTTTAAAATTTTATGAATTTATGAGTTCCTCACTCACAAGGTTTTTTGTTGTAAAGATATTATTAGACTACAGATTCAGATTTTTATTGTAATGACAATGTAATGTATAAAAAAAATATTATTGTAAAGATATTATTAGATGACAGATTCAGATTTTTATTGTAATGACAATGTAATGTATAAAAAATATTATTGTAAAGATATTATTAGATGACAGATTCAGATTTTTATTGTAATGACAATGTAATGTATAGAAAAATAAAATAAAACATTTTATACTGGTGATTATTAACTTTTACTTTATGAGGTGTGATGCTGCCTTTGGAGCAATTTTATCATTTACTGAACTAATGCAATGCTTAGTATTAACATATTTTGAGCAAGTTGTTCTCATATGTATAGAGATGAAAGAAAATTTTAATAAAAGGAAGGTCTTCATCATTGTGATTTGTTCAGAGCAAATTAATGTACTTTATTAAGTCGTCAGTGGGAGCCAAGTTGACCATTTAAAGGTAGTTAAGTCGGTATGTTTGTAAGCAGCGATCTTATGTTTTTCTATTATTGATTGGTATATGAAGCTGGTGATCTTCCTTATGTGTTTCAAGATCTATATTTTGATCATTGCCTACAACCAGAAGGTATTCATATTCATATATTGGTATTGCATGTACTTAAGAATACATTATGTTGAATTGTTGCTGTTTAAAATCATCCAGTTTTATTCTGTGAAAATAAAAAAAACTGTTAGGATCACACATAGTGTAAACAGTTGTTGCTTTTGTTTCTATATGATTTGCTATTCTTAGATAGTTGTGTAACACGTTCACAAGTATATTAAGCAAATTAAATAACTTATACACAACATTATCACAATTTTAGGACATCCCTGGAAATGAACTATTGAATTGGCACGAGGAAGAAATCGAAAACCTTAAGCAGAACATATCAAAAGTTGAAGAGAAAATAAACTTATTAAAAGTTAAAAGGGTAATGCTAACAATTACATTTCTAGTTAAAGTTATTTTAATATTAAATTTGTGATATTTAGTATATCAGAATTTATTAACCTTTTGTGTGAATTCATAATTACTTATAAATTGATAAATTAGAAAAACTCTATTAGTATATTCGTGATCATTCACATTTAAATGCTGTTAACTGAGACATAACTAACAGTGTAAACTTGTGGCAAACAAAAATGTGAAGAATAGATACATTTTTGGATGAGAAGGAATCAAATATTCATTTCTCTCTCTTTTCATGAAAGATACTGTAAAATTTCTATTAAATCCATTAATTAATTTAATCTTATGTATTTCAAATGATCTTCAATACGTTTGAGAAATGGGAAGTCATAATAATAATTGATAGTAATTATATTTTTATGCGACAAGGCATCTGAAAGAGTTGCTGCCAGTGAATTACATGAAGACATAGTAAATAAAGATGAGATAATACTACAGCTGGAAGCTTCTCTTGAAAATCGTGAGAGAGAAGTCTCTGATTTGCAGAAAACGATGACAGAATTGGTGAGCTTTTTATTTTCTATTTATGATCTGTTCATAAATACTAGAGTGTGTATAACTGACCTTAAATGAGTACTTGTTCATATAAAAAAATTAAATACAGTTTTATGTAGATGGTTTATTCAGATTCTGTGGTTCTTTTTCACAGAAAAAATAAACTGATAAATTTATAAAATTGTTTCGTATATGTACTGTAAGACTGCTACATTGTACTGTAGTAGTTTGAGTTGTTAAAAAGTGACTTGAATTGTCTACTAATGTCCTAGATAATTTATTCATAATATATTCTGCTTCACGAATATGTGCAACTATTTATCCTTAATATTATTCAGACAATATTTTGTTAGTGATTGTAAAAACAGATTTCTTTTTGGCTTTGAAACAAGTTTGTGCATGAATATAAAAAATCTTTATTAAATCTTTTCTGCTCATTGATAAGATACAAGCTGGTTTCCTAGTTAAATATGGTTAAATGTTTTTCATCATTATTAAGTTTAAAAACTACCAGTTAATGACATATTTCTAACTGTAATGCCATGTTCAATGTTTAGTAAAAAGATGAATTCATAATTACTTATAAATTGATAAATTAGCTATGGTAGATATTTTTAAGGTGATTTACTATTTTGTTCTACAACACCAAATAGGGTTGGCCATGGCCTAGTGGGTTCTTGTATGATTCTTATCTTGTTGGCACAAAAAAAGGAGTGTTGTACTTTAAGGCAATGGGTGCCTTATAAGAGTGATGGTCAAATCCCACTGCTTGATTAGAGTAGCTTCAAATTTGACTGTGGGTTTTACTAACTGATTGTATCATTTAAAAATTAAGGAAGAATAGTGCAGATAGCTCTTTGTGTAACTTTGCACGAACACCCAAAACAGTCCAAACTAAATCAACGTATAAAACCATAAGTAACCAGCTTATGTGACAGAAAAGCAAAACAGTGCATATTCCCTTTTAAAATCTGCACTGAAATTTAGTAGTTTGCTTCATTTTTACAAGTCTGAGGAAGTAATTTCTCAGTAAAGTTGATATTTTTATGGATCTGAAATAGTCCTTATGAACATCTTCCATATTAATACTAGGGTGAAGATTTAGAGCAGGGAGAGCTGAGACAGCAGAAGCACCTTCAAATAACTGATGGTAGGTGGCAATAAATATATAACTAAGTGATATATATACATATAGTGTCCTTTCTCTATTTTAATAATAAATTGAATACATTTTGTGCAAAAACCCAAAACAATAACATTTCTAATTGTTTGTAATACAGCTAATTTCTGTAATAGATACAGAAATAATGTATAAAAAGTTGAATTTTCAGGCTGCTTGTTCATTCTATTTGAGTTTAGAATTTGGAAAGAAAAAACTTTGATTGTTGAAAATGAATAAACATTTCTCCCAAAATTATCATGTGTAGGATTTTATATCAATTGTTTTTTCAAAGTGTTAATGCTGTAATATAGCAAGTATTTTTTTGATAATTAACTTGTCATATGTATTTAAAACAATTAATAAGGTAAACATTTATTTTATATCACACCAACACATAGATCCAATAAGTATACATTAATTTACTAAAAATATGATTCAAGTATTCAAGCACAAAAGTTAATGCTGATATATAGATCATATTGTTCCAAAAATCCTGAATTGCAACATTTGACTAATATAGTTACTTAGAATTAAAACAACAACATGAGAGAGTAAAATAAGTCATTTAATCATTCGTCATTTTTTACTTGGAATAAGTAAAAACTAATATGACAAAATATCTATCTAACATTTATACAGGTTGGTTATAAAGTTTCTCAGTTTAGCATGCCATAATTCATAGATGGTATAGCATAAGAAGGTAAAATTGCACAGGAGAGCTGAGGGTATTATGTGGATTCAAATTCCACAGTTGTCACGTGTTACCAAAGTTACCACTGTGGTTTCTTTTGCATATTTCCCATGGGTATAAATGAGCCTGTTGCTCACAGTGTAGTTCATTCAATCAACATGAAAGTAATACATATATACATGAACTAGTTAAATGTTATTACACCAAAGGATGCAGTGTGAAGGCAAGTCTCAGGGAATACTGTAGAGGGCATAACACCCACAGATGGTCTTGCTCTAGTGTTATTGTTCAAGTTAATAAAAGTTTTTGAGGAGACAGGTTGCACTTGTAATAAGCCATACATAGACAAAACACCAACTGAAACTATTGCTGAGATCAGACCTTCCATAGCAGTACAAGCCAGCAACAGTGCACATTTTGTTGCCTGGTATCTGTATTTGCCAATTTCAACTGTTTTTAAGGATCTTCAGTCCACTTTACAAATGTTTCCTTACAAGCTGCATCATGTTCAAGCATTGAAGGAAATGGATTTAACCCAATGTGTTGATTTTGCATTGCAGTTCTTGGCAAGACTAGAAGTTGATGACCAATATCTTATGGATTGATGAAGTACACTTCACCCTTTCATAAAGTTTCAACATGTGCAACTGCATTATTTGACCTGAAACTAATCCACATGTAACATTTCTTACACACCTCCATGATGCTAAGTTGACAGAGTGGTGTGGTCTCACAACTGACTTTGTTATTGGACCATAATATGTTTTGAAGAACCATCAGCACCATGGACTGCAAACCTGCACAGTCTATGGGGAGAAGTACATGCAATGCTCACAACTAGTGTGATTCCAATGCTACAGCAACAAAATGTGATAGACACTATGGTTGTCATGCAGAATTGTGTCCTGCCACATACTGTTAACCAGGTGAAACAAGTCTTGTGAGAGCACTTTTAGGACAGAATCATTTCATGCCACTTTCCTTGTGAATGACCACATTGTTCACTGGACCTAACATCAGCTAATTTGTGGTTGTGGGGGTATCTGAAGTCATGTGTGTATATCATAGGAAGCCTTGCACAAGTCCAGACATCAAGGATGCATTTGTCTGAGAAGTGGCCAGCATATCAAGTGTGATTTGAGTTGTTGTAATGACTGGATGCTGTAAAAGTACAGTTTAATTAGTATTTTATTGATCTAGTACATTATTTTTTTATTCTGTAACCTTATAGGAACTATATTAGTTTTTTTTATAATTCTTTGTGTGAATGTTGTTAATTTTTTCTTACTGCAGTGAAGATATTTATTAATAAGCAAAACATAGACCATCGAGCTTTGTGTTTGATAATATTAGACTGTTTGCATTTTACTTGACTACCTATTTTTAGTAAGGTAGCATAGTAACAATCATACATGTGGTAGTATAATTCTTTAAAATAGCACAATTATTTTTAGTGGTAACTAGACCAAATTCTGATATAGTGCCAAATGAACCTATGATGTGCTTAAACTACAAGGGAGATTCCAATCAGATTTGACTGGAGTGAGTGATAATAGGAATGTAAGGCATAATATAGATTTATTCAATCTTTATGGGTGCACAACAGGAATGGATAAAGAAAGCTGGTCTTTTCTAACCCTTAAAATAGTGTTATGGAATTCATTAAATTCTAATTGATGCTTTTTTACACATTGCTTCATGTATGCTAAGAATGCTGTCACTTATCATGTTTTTCATGCCATAAACCTAGTTTGTGTACATTGTATTCTTGCTGAGAGCTATGCATTACAGTTTTTTTTTGCATAAATGGTTTATACTTTCTGCCCTAGTGTGTAAATTTTGTACTATATATATATGTGTGTAACATTGTGATCAGCACACAACCTTACATTTTCCAAAGAGATTTTTTACTGCATAATTAAATCGATATGCAATAAGTGAGATACTGTTCAAGCATACTATTATCAAACTAGTCAATAAATTAATTTTATGTTGTTTTGTTACCTGTTTTAATTTCATGTTAAAAAATAAGAGATTGTGACATGCAGGTATAGCAATGATCTTGTGAAAGAGACTTATTTTTACCATGAAATATACCTGATTAAACTTTTACATCACATAAGTATAGTTGTTCCTGGTTAATTTCTTACATAATACCATTTTGGATGTTCCTCAATTCATCATCAACACATTTCAATTTACCTAACTCTCCTTTGAATTTGATTTCAATTTAGGTTGTGCAGCACATTTTCCAAGTAATAAAATGCAAATTAGGCCATCTGTATTCAAATAAGAGTTTAACCTAATTCAAGGAATTTATCTTAGCTAATATCTACAGTGAAATGTACTAAAATTTTGCAGTTCATTTCATACCCAGTAGTTTCCCTGTGAATCAGTAGTAAGTTTACGGACTTACATTGCTAAAATCTGGGTTTCGGTTTCTCGTGGTGAACAGAGCTTTGCACCAAAAAATAAATAAATAAACATTCCCAGTGAACTCAGTAAAGACTAATATCGAGATATAAGTATGATAGATGCTTTAGTTATTACAAGGTAAATTAATCAACCATGTACCTGACAATTATTTACTTTTAAATATATTCAATTTTAATGGCAATTTGTTGTGAAGAAGGTGGCCAAATTATTTCATTCTCATTTTATCATGAAAAAATTAGGTTGAACAACTGTATTTGCTTCACTAAAACTCATATTCTATTTACATCCATTAGTAGAATAGTACAGTTAAGTTCTAAAGTTAAAGAAAGAATGAAAATCAAATGTTTCGGGGACAGTGCATTTCTGTATTTAAATTTCATCACAAACAAGAAGAAATTTCTAAAGTTAATGTGCAAAATTTTTTGTTTTTATAAATAAATAATTAAAAATACACTAATAAATGAATGTACTGTAATGAAAAGAGAACTCCCAAATACTCATTAAGATTGTTATCTGAAAAATCTATATAATAGATGTGTTTTTAAGAACTTAAGAATTTATTTGCTTATGATTTGATTACGTATCACTGTCATTTTATTAGAATCTGGTCGAAAGCTATATGACAATGAAGAAAAAGAGCGGGAAACCTTACAAAAGAAAGTAGAACTAGAAAACCGGGAAGCAGAACTAATTCGTATATCAAGAGATGATAACTCATTACAGCCAAGCCAGATGAACCAGGAGATTAGAGATAGAGAAAAGTTAGCATTATCTTGTAACTTTCTTTAAAAAAATGTTTAAGAATAAATGCTTTTATTATCTTGTTTACAGTATTTATTAAAACAATAGATCAAAATTAAATTGTAAGTTATAAAGTAATTGTAGTATTATTCAAGTTTTTTTAAAAAAATATGCTTATTTATAATTAAAAGTCTCTGAAAATTAACATCTATGAAATTAGAAACTGTTAATTTTTAGAGACAGCTGGGAACTGAAAAAGATTTTAATTTCAGACATTTGATGCAACTGAATTTTTAAGTTCTAGTCATAAAAAAGTTGATAAAAACTTGTTATACAGTCTAAAAGTTCATATCAGTAATGACTTCAATATATACGAATCAATTTGTTTACAGAAAAACTATTTATAGATTTCTTAATAAGTGTACAATTAAGGTAGAATATATATATATATATTCTCTACTCTTTATATTACACTAACAAGTAGAAAAAGACTGATATTTATCTGTTACTATTTCTTTGTTTATTTCATAGACAAGTAGAGGAGCTACAGATCCAATTAAGAGGCCGTTCTCAAGAGTTAGAGAAATTGAAGGATATAGTTAACTCACTTCAGGATAAAAAAAAACAGGAGTTTTACAAGTTTAGAAATAAGCGCAATGAAGAAGTTAAAGACCTGAAATCAAAAATGAAAGTACAGGTGAGACTTTTGTCTTTTTTTATGTGTGTGTTCTATATTTGTATTTGTGTCAAACTGACTACCATTTTGTACAATTTTCATATATTTATTTGAGTAGAATGTGGCTGACTTCGAAGTAGTTTGTAAATAATAGATGTGAACAGTTTCAAGTGATATTGTGAAACTTCCTGAATTTTAGAGTTGGAAGATCTTAATCCCTTGATAAAATTTAAAGTGCAGTAAGCATGCAAAAATAGGATAGTAAAAAAAAAAATAAAAAAAGTCATGAATGTGGGATATCAATAGTTATAGGTGAAATTCATGTTATAATAAATACATAGTAAAAATGTAAGATACCGTACAAATTTAACTTCCTTTTTCATCTACTTATATATATAATTATGTTCCATTTTAGCACTAAGTCGAAAGTTCAACCTTTATAATCTATTTGGAAGGAGATTATAGAGTATTTAAAATTTGGTTTACTGACATGTTGCACAAGATAGTTATAATCAATCTTCAGTTTGTTTGTTGCTGTTTTTCATAAAAACAAAATTTCAAATAGAAGTGTATTTTCTTAATAGCACGAAGAGTTACAAAAGACTCAAGAAAACATTTCTAACTTGACTCATACGTTGGCTGGAAAAGAGCAACTAGTGAACCAAAAAGAAACAGAGGCAGAGGAGCTACGGCAACAGTTAGAGGAAAGTGAATCTCAGCTTGCTCAGTCACAAGCTCAGTTGCAAGAAATACAGCTAACTGTTGAAAGCTTGCAGGCACAGACCTCCACATCTAACAAATCCTTAGAAATTAAGGTTCAACATCTACAAAAAGAACTAGACCAAGTAAAACATGAAAAGGAAAAGGTAATTTACCTGTTAGGGATGTTTCTAATGGAGATTTAGTCTCAATAACAACAGTCAGAAAGTATTTCTTTATTTCTTGGTACTTAGAGCTTTTAGGTCACCAGTTCTTTTTCTCTTCAAGAAGAAATATTTAGTAAGTAGGCTTAATACCAATTCATTGCGCAGATCAGTGTTGATCTGTAAGTCAAAGTAACAGAGCTTGTGGTGTTTATTGTGACTGGATATTTTCTGATTAAACATCAGACTAAATTTAACATTGAAATCTTTTTATCAGATAATTAACTTTTTTTATATTATTAGATTTAAGTAATTAGTGTATAGGAAGTTGTGATTCATATTAGCATCCTGCTTTACTAGGATGTAGAGATGGTGAACTTAGTTTTATTGGTAATTTAATTATAATGATCACAGAAATTGGATAAAGTAGTGTATGACAAAATTCTGTTTAGTTTGAAAAAGATTGTGAATATTTGCAACTTGAAGTAATTAGATTCAAGCAAACTAAAAGGGGTGAATAATACAGCACGTAAAATGATGTTATTTTCATAATGCTTTTATTGAAAGCAATAAATATCAGTTAGATTTCGGAAAAAAAAAGTCTGTTGCTCTAAAAGAAAAACTGAGATGGTTACTTTTAACTTATTTGTCTATTTTACTTCATATTAAAAAAATATATATTTTATCAATAAATAAATAATTGATATTATTTTATACCAATACATATATTCCAGAAAGATACATCTACACAAACATCATATAGCTATTCTGTTATCCTTGTTAATTATTTTAATTATACAAGATATCCAGAAGCCATTGGATAAACATACAAATTATGAAGTAATGGTCTGTTACTATAGTTAAAAAGATACAAATGTGTTTACTTCACCAGTAGAGATGTAGTTTTTTGCTGTTTTTAATATTTAAGTACATAAAAGCACCCCAGTGACACAGCAATATGTCTTATAATGCTAGAAACCAGGTTTCAATACCCATGGTTGGCACAGCACAGATAGCTAATTGCTTTGTGCTTAACTACAAACAAACAAAATACAAAGCAATAGAAAATGTACTAGCTCAGAAATAGCTTTAAAGGAGGTGATTATGTAATTTAGAATGAATACATAGAGTTATTGATATTTATTTGAGTCTTTTTTTCTGATGTTTGCCATTTCTTTGATTTAGGTATTTCATAAGTATCATGTGTCAGAAAAAGCTCGTATAAAGCTACAGAAACAACTTGATGAGATTATGAAGGAAAAACAAGAGCATCAGGCTACAGTTTCTGATCGAGATGCTCAAGTGGCCAAACTAAAGGCAGAAGTTGGTAGACTTCAAACAGAGTTCGCTAAGCACAAAGAGGAACTACAACGTAAGCTGGTAATAACAGAACTAGAATCCCAAGCTATGCAGGACCTGCATAATCAGTTGTAAGTTGTCTTAATCTATGCCATATCCTAGTATTTTATTTTTTAGTGAGCTCAAGTAGTAGGAATTTCATATGATAAAGAAAACTATATAACAAAATCACATTCAGGTTGATATCAGTTATATAAAAATCTGAATTTAGCCATATGTCTCAGTAATTTTTAGAACTAATTCCTGATCATTTGAAGTAAACTAATTTGTCATAAAGAGAATAGTGATTCATAAGTGTTAGATAGTAGTAAATGTTTTTTTGTTTTGTTTTTTAAGTACTTTTTAAGCATGTATCAGTTATTAACAAAATCCAGGACTATCTTATTTGCCAAGTTTTAGGAAACTATACAACATTAAAAGTGCTAAGATCTCATTACTGGAACATTGTTGCCTGTTTCCTGTTAACAGTTTCTAATGGTTGTCAAAGAAAGTACTGATTCTTACTCTAGCTGGCTGCTAGTATGATTTAACTACTATAGATGCTTATATATAAGGGAAACTTTTGTACATCATAATACCTTTGAAAATGGATTAACAGAGGTAGCTTAGTGCTATTGCATTTAGCTTTTCAATCATATTTCGAATCCAATATACACAGTATAAGTTTGAAATACTGAACTTCAGTGGATAAGAATTTAGAATATATTGCTTAAAAAATTTAGAATTCTTCTTAAAGGAGAGATGAAAACCTTTTAAGCATAAGCCAAAAACTAGCTAAATGGATGGAATGTATGCTTTCTGCATGGCACTCTGGCCATTCCCTTTCACTTAAATTGTATATGATATTCTGTCCTTTGTAATCTGTTCTCACACTTAACAGAATAAACAAATGTCACCCAGATTAAACTATATATATCTTAACTTACAAAGCAGTTCATGATATGTACACTACATTAACTATTAAAACAATACAGATTTATGGTATTCCAAAATTAATAAAACACAATTAAAGCAAACTTAAGATGTTAGGAAATAAAGAAGTATGTGCCAACTTTCTGTAGACATTAGTATTGCCCCATAAAGTTAGTAAAACACTGTTTTGTTTGAGAGTTCTTTTGAAATAAACAGTCAGCTTTCAGTACAAGTTCGGTATTAAAACTACCAATAAAGCTAATTAATGTAGCACTATTTTGATGGGGTTTATCACTTTGTGTCAACATCTTTTGAGTATTGCCAAAATATCTACAACTGACAGATAAGTACTTATAATATTATCTGAAAAACTAGTATTTTACAGTTAATAAAACTTTGTTTATCGGTGTTTTAAAATTTAATTTGTTTGGCAAAGCTACTTTTAGTCAATAAAACAACTTTTTTTAATAATATATCATAACATACGTTTCCTTAACTTTTGTGCAGTAATTTGCAACAAGATGCTCTCAGTGAACTACAGAACAAGTTGGTTCATGTTGAAGCTGAACGGGATGAACTCTATAGAGAGGTTCTTATCCTACGTGGAACACAAGAAGAAAGGAATCAGGTGAGTAGAGTACAAGAAATGTTAACAATCAATACTAACTATTTACTGGACTAAAAAAAAAGAGCAAGGAATTGCAAAGTATAAATGAGTTATTTTACATATTACATATTTACTTTTTACTTGAAGTTAATTTTTGATGGTACTCCTGAGAGAAAATTTTGTGTTTCAGTCATAGTGCATTATCATACCTAGTATGTGGCATAACATATGGGAAAAGAGAGAATCACCTTGATAACTTGTTCAGAGTACATCAGAAAAGTACAGAGTCAGTTAAAAACAGATAACAGAATAGAATCAGTGAGAATTACTTATTGGCTGAATGGAAATAGGGAGATTAGGTCAAGAGTGATAGAACAAAGATAAATCTTAAGTATTATGAAATACTTATATTTCTAAAAAAAGGGGATCCTAAGTAAAACAAAAAAATGGAACACAATAGCTGAATATACAAAGATCTTTGTGACAACTTGTGTGATAAATGATACAATAGTCATTCATGTGTTGATATATATATATTTTTGAAATTGTAAGAATTAAATGTACCTGATGTCTAATATAGAATTATGGTCCATAACTCCCATGAGCTATGTTTGAATCTCAACCTGTTAAAAATGATACTGTTGGTTTAATTTTATTAGCTCATATATTTCACCACATTCTGAAACATTTGAATGGATAACAAATGTTTTTGTTTTCTTAACCAACGATAAATTTATCAATATACCATGGTATAATTAGTGTGTAATTGATTTATAGAATTATTTTTAGATCTGTTTTGGTCAGTAATATTTTCCTGTACTTGCTCACCAATATTTGTAATGTCCTTATGGCTGTACTGTAGACAGGGTTTATAAAGGAAATTTCAAAATTAAAATGAGTAATATTACCTTGCATAAATTGAAAAACTCTGCACAATTGAAATGTAAATAACACACATTTGAAGTATAAACTACTGATCATATTACATTTGTGTGTTGTTTATTTCTTTCGTAGTTTAAATTGTTATAATGTTTCTATAGGATTGTGGCATGCATTTTCAACCTTTTTATTTTCATACAGGGTTTCTCAAAAATTTTCAGTTATTCGGGTGTATGTTCAGTTTTCACATAACAAGTGGTCAAGAAACTTGTTAAGTTACTTTTGCTCTGCATTGTTCTGTATGGTGTCCCCTGGATATGGGAGAAACAGATGTAAAGCTACACCTTGAGTATAAAAGTAGATATAAGTTTCCTCCAATAGTAGGTCAGGTGATATCTTGAGGGTACAACCTTCTTTATTTTCAAATGATAATGACCAATCATGTGAGTATTATTAGTCTCTCTAGATGGGTCTGGTGTTACTGAGTTAACTACATAACATGACATTTAGTCAGTCATAACAAGTCTTAAGAGATCAAACAATTCTGGATCTAGCTCTCCAGTAAAAGTGACCATATGATGTGTTTGTGTCTTGATAAAGATTGTTCATTGTGTTTTTGTACAGTTGTGTCCAGTCTCTTTCTTTCTTTCTCATGGACTCGGTTACTAAGAGAACTCAGAATTACTTCGTAATAAATATCTTAATCGAATCCCCTGTTATTCAGCAGACTTGTCTTGTTGTTCTAAGAGAAATCAGCTTAACCTGAAAATACCACAGGATTAACTCGAGCCTTTAACTCATTTGCTGAATACTCACTTGGCATAAAAAAAAAGTATCAGATTTAATCCCAATTCTTAGAAATGTAGAGAGTTCCAATGGTATTGTTCCTTGTCATGAGAGATGTTCCAAACCAACACTGATTGTGTAGACTTAAGCTATGTATTACCATTACGTCTACATTCATGGAAATTTATAGAAGATATATAAATCATGTTTGTTGTTTATATATTGTTACTTGTTTTTATTTTGTCAGAAAGAATATTTCCTGTTATCCCTATTAAGCTGATATTTCTCTTTTTTTTTGTGAAAGATAAAAAAACGTATTAAAACGATTCTTTTAGTGTAGGATCATTACATTGTTAGTATCTTTGCCTTATAATTTTAGAAGCCTTGCAAAGGAGGTGTTTATGTTTTAAGATTAAATAAAGTTTTGTTTGACTAATTTTTTATTGTAATACACATGGCTGTTATGCAGTAAGAAAGGTAAAAGTTTTCGAAGTTTTAAAAGCAACCAGTAATTATGAAATGTCAAAGGTAAAGAAATTTTGAATTATATAATTTTAAAAAAGAGTGGATCTTAAAAGATTATATTCATGCAGTATTGAAATTCTTTTTTTGATATCCTCGTTATGTTTCATTTTTCATATTTGTTTTTAATATGCTACAAGTTTTGGAGATTTTTTTGGATTCTTTACAGCTAGAAAGCAGGTCAACCACTCTTCAACAACACTTAGGTGATTTAAAACAAAGGTAAGAGACCGAGGCTAGTTCCAGTTTACCGGCCTTCTTGACATCTATTCTCTAAAGTGATGTCAACTGTAGATTTATTTTAATTTAATTTATACTATTATTGGCTTTTAAATACTTAATATAACCCTTTTTAATCATCAAAAAGTATAGTTACTTAATATACTTACTATTATTATCTATCTATCAAACTGATTTTTAAAAAATAATAGTTGCACTAACAAAGTAAAATCTGTTCTTCTTCTGTTTCCTAATAGTAATTATAAAAATAATAACTTAGTGTTCCTACTTCACTACAAAGTAAACATTTAAGTTGGTTGTAGTATGTTTGACTATGAGTTTTGTTCCAAAACCATTGTTTGTTGTTAAATATTGTTACACTATTAAGTATAGTATGCAAATGTGTATCTTCCTTTTATCAAAATTTGTATTATTGTAACAATTATATTTAAACTGATACTTTTGAAATTAGCATTCTTATTATCGATTTAAAAATATATTGTGGCACTGTATTTCATTTAAAAAAAAAGAGAGTAATCATTATTCAGAAGCTTTGTATTTTTGTAATAGTTTTGTTACTGCTTGTGTTACGTTTGAACAAGAAACCAGTATTATTATGTGATTTTGCAAAGTAGGAAGAAAAAAGAAATTTTGAGAAATTGTTTTGAAAATGAATGAATAATATGTGATTACTGATAGACTTATGCATATCTTAAGAAGATAATTAGCTGTTATGACCATCACATGATACTTGTTGAACTTGTGTGATTCATTAACAATAGAATTTTAAAACATTTTATCCAATGTATAGATTGTATTATACCGCCTGTGTGCTCTGGTGTAGTGCCTTTAGATTAATACGTATAGTTTGCTAAGTGCCTAAGTTTAAAATATTTAGCCTCATGTGTAACTTCAAGTGTGTACTTTATTTTGCATAAGATGGGCTTATATCATAGTATCTATATTCATTCAATAAAACTGATTTTATATTGACCAGTTTTAGTTAGATATATTGTTCTATTTTAGGTTTAATCAGGCTTGTTTTGCATGCAACTTGGGTTTTTTTACTTAATTTAAATCCTTTTCTACTGATTATATTTGTATAACCAAAAAAACTCAATCTCCCTCTCTTTTTTTCCCTCAGTATCGTTTGAATAGTCTTCCTAGTCATCACAATGCTATGTGTGCATGCCAGATCATCAAATTTTTTTTTACTCTGTTTTTGTATATCTCAGCTTTTTTCTAGTTTTTTTAAGGTTGTATTGGATTTTAAACTTGGTTATTACTTTATTAAAATTTTTTCTGTTTACATTTTCACTCATATGTAATTTTACTGATTTTATGACTTTTATTATCCTTACTCTATTTGGAAGTTTATTATAATATTTAATTTTTTCAACACAAAAGAATATGAAAAAATATTATGTTAGATGGCATCCTATGTTGATATGACAAAAAAATTTATGTAATTAATGTGTTATGATAATTGTTTATATTCATAATCGTTACTATATTTGAACAAACAAAAAGGAACAAATGAATGCAAATTGTAAAAAAGAATAAGAATAAATTAAGTATTTTATATTAAATAAGCTATATTATTTGTATCATTTATATGAACTTGAAGATAGGATATAAGTATTAGAATATACACTAATGAACTTTGGCATTACTAATGTGCTTATTAAAAAAAATTTCATGAGTCTTGAAAAGAGTTTAGAAAATGTGTAAGATATGTAAAATGTTGAATATGTATTGATTTTTATCATTCAATGTTTGCAGCATTTCAGGGATTAAATCCTGTCAGGTCAAGTGATCATAAATTTTCTTTTGATGTGAAACTTGGACAAAAATATTTATTTAATAATAAATTCACTTGAATGTAATCCTAGAAATTATAAGACAGAAAAAAAAGAAGTTATGATCAGTGAAAGCAATCATATAAACATATTACAAAATGTACTTATGCTTTATATGAGAATATGTTGACATGTAGAATAGCTTCATGTACTTTTGAAGACAACACTGTTATTACATTCATTTTGGTTTTATTGAAGAGAGGTTCTAATTCAACTGCTTCACTAGACATTGTTTTTTATGAGTGAAAATTTTCAAATATCTTGGTTAACTGACAGAAGTAATGTTTGCAGCAAAACCTCAATTCATGTATAAATAAGTAAATGTACGTAACTTTATTTTTCTTTCCATGCTGCTTGATGTAACCAAACTTGGCACATGGTAAGAACGACCCTTAATGACCACGCTGTAATTAGCTGGTGGTGGTGGTGGTGGCTAGGTTTAGTTTTAATATTGGTATTAGGTGATCCAATGTTGACTTGTATATATAACTGGCTTTTGTCTTAACTTCTCCTAGGAAAATAAAACAGACTTGTTTTTCTGCTGTGGTTTGTTTTCTGTCTCTTCTTTGTATTTCTATGTTCTGTAACATGGAAATAATACTATAAGGAAGTTTCAAACAGTTAAAAAAAAACTGAAATAAATATGTCTGTCAAGTTCAGTTTCACTATTTTAATTTATTTTGTATCATTAAAACAGTCAAATTGTTAATCTATAAACAATTATGTTTTTCAAAGGAGATCTAAAGTAATAACTAAAAAACTGTGTATTATAATTTTATCTTTCTTTTTATGTTTATCTTAAAATATCTTTTTCATGATTTAATCAACAGAACCCAAAGATGTTATAATTAGAAGTTCACTTTGTTATATCTTTATAAAAATAAACTTTTATTCTATGCCAAGTGAAATATTAAAAAAAAAGTCTAAAGTTTATAGATATAAGATACTAATGCTGTATTCATTATACAAACATTTATTTGTATGTGTTTAACCAAACTAAATGGAGACCTTTTACTAAAATCATGGTTCTACAGAAGAGAATACTAAAGATTTCTTATTAATTTTTATTTTTTTTATATATAATGCAGAAATATATGTAAAACGTTATCTACAAAAGCAATTCTTTCTTGTGAATCTTTATTTGTAATCTCACCATATATATATATATATATATATATATATTATTATTATTAAAGCAGCATACAATTAAATCCAAACGATAGTGATATGTGCTTGTAATATTATAGTACAGTACTAATCAAATATAAATGGCTTAGTGTGGTATTTTTATACCCTCGCAAAACAGGTAGTAGTGCTCTAACCAAGATCAGTGACAAGACAGTTTTGGTTTCATCAAAGTGGCTGCAGTTTTCTGACTAACATACATCATAGGATATCATTATATGAAGGGCCGCTGTCTAATATTAATCTATAGGTGAATTGCCTTTTCACATTGTGGCATATTTAGTAGTGTCATACAGCAGTATTCCAATCGCTAACAAACATAGTGAGGCATTATTGGGATATGATTTTCATTTGTACTTTAACTACAACTAAACTGTACAGCATTGTTGAAATGAATAGCCATACGACTAAAACCAGATCATAATTTAATGTTTTTACACCAGAAATTACAGCATTGTAATAATCGTAATTTTCTTGGCAGATTTATTAGTGCTCTGGCTGAAGGCAGACCATGCCCTTGATGACATATTGATCAAGGTCATGGAAGAGTTGCTAAGATCAACTTATAGTATGTTTTGATCTTTTATCATATATTAAATGGGAGAGTAATTGATACAGTAAGTGCAATCTCATACCGTGTAACAAAACACTGAATTATTTATGATTTATCCAACATTTAATGATTTGTTGTTTAGTGTTTAGAAATTTGAAAATCGATCCATTCTTGATAGCAAAGCATTAGGAGTTAAAGAGAGCAATCTTAATATAAACTCAAAAGATTTGAGTGTTTTTTAACAATGGACTGTTATTAAATAACACCAATATCCATTGAGTTAATGTTAAATCTTATCTGATAGATCTTTGTGTTTATCAATGTATGACATAATAATTGCTATGATTACAGAATTGCTAACTAACATAGTTGTATAATCACTTGTTATCCTATGCAAATAAATGGTTTATCGAAAAATATAATTTGTTTCTTTTGTATGTTTAATTGAATCAATTCTAGTTCCATCATCACCTGTGTTCTGTTGATTAAGGATGTAATTATATACATTAGGAGACCAAAAAACAACATTAGCTGTATTTATTACTTCAAATTTTCATGTAGCAGAGGAAAAGCAAAATTACCTGTAAAACTCAAACCAAAACATGTTCATATCATGCAACAAGTCATTGAATTAGTTAATGTCATACATAGCTTTAAATGCAGTTAAGTCTTTGTAAAAATTTCACATTAACTGAACCGTTTTTGGTTTATTTTCAGTACATAAACCTGAATATTTTACAGCTTTAATAGTTTTCCTATAATAGAAATTATATGATCGATAAGAATATTGACCAATCACTCAAGAGTTACCACACTGCAAATTTAAGAAATTTAATTACCCACATTATAAAGAATACATTTACTGGCAGAAAGGAAATATCCTCAATGCACATATAAGCTCTCCAAGTTTTCCTCAGAAGTCCTTTAGCTACAGAGTTGAAAAAGGTTCTAGTTTAGAATACAAAGTATTTGTTTGTTTTTTATACCAAGTGTTGTTGGTCAGTCTTGTCAGTTTATTTGTTGTAACACAAACAGTAAAACTAAATTACTTTTACTATTTCAAGTTCTATATTAGATACGTGTCTTTATAGAAAAAGTTTACTCCAATTTTCAGAGAATTAAAGGAGTTATAAATTATCAAGTTGTGATGAATTATAATTTGTTAGATGTAAAATACTTAGGAAAATTTAAAAAAACATACTAAGAAAATTGGGTATACAGAGTCTTTTGTGATTGAATACTCTTAAAAAATAAAATTAACTTGTAGTCGAACATGTATAAGGTTAAGTTGATTGTTTTAAAAACTAAATGATTTTTTATCCTTCTCTTAAAATGATCCATTATGAACCAAGTTTTAATATTGGAATTTCTTTGCACACTTCTTTGGAAATATCATTGTCAAAGTAGTTTTAAAATTGTTTAAAATATTTTGAGAAATGAGGTGTATTTCAGTATAAATTGTTTTGAAGAAAATTGAGCAAATGAAATAGATTGGTAATTAGATTGGCATATTACACATTATAATATTATATAGTTTATTTTATTCCAGTTAATACAGCTCTGATATAATTTAACTTCCATTACTGGAGTTTCAAATCTAACATATAAATTGATGGGAAATTAGAACTTTCAATATTTAAAGTTTTATCAGACACTTGCATATTAAGCCTCATTGAATCAGACTAATCTTGACTTTTCTTTGGATTGCTTTTATGCAAACTATCTATGGACTGAGTAAATATTTGGCATTCTGGTAAATTTAAGCACTGAATAAACCTGCTCAAACAGATACAAATGTATAGGAAAGATGTACATGTGAGCATTATTATCAAAATATACATACAAATGCATGTTTGTATTTTGTGTTGGTAAGCTTAGTGAAAGTGGTCTTTGTCAAATTGTATGTAATGGCCATACTTAGGCAGATTTCTCAATTTCACTAATGTTTTTCTTCTATTCATTCTTCCCTTAGTTTGTCTCCAAGAAGAATTAAATGCATGTGTATTAGTAGTAGTAGTAGTCGTAATGTCTATTTTTTCAGTTTCTCTCAGGCTAAATTTTTGTGGCCCAGATTTTGTTGAAGTCTGGGTTCAGTTTTGTTTGGGGATTTAAGTACTGCATACCTCACTCTGCTGTAGTAAATATTTCACATTTAAAAAGAATTCTAATTTGCAACATACATGATAAATCCAGCCAACGTCATGTGTTGATTAAACTTTAGGTGTTACTTTCTATGGCAGGGTTCAGTTTTAACCAGACTGCCTGCAATTTAAGTGTTAGTTTTATTGTATCCTACATTACCTTGTGCATATGAAACTACATTATGGGTTTCACATGGAACAAAATTGCCTCTGGATACCTTTGATTCAGTTTTGTGATATGGTTCCTGAGAGCAGTTTGACATTTTCAAGAACATTAATTTCTGCCAATGAAGCCATAATGTGTAGTAGAGTTTCATCTTCACCTTTCCAACTTTTAGTCTGCTGATCACGTGTATTTAGTCTTGTAGTATTACCAACATCAACAACCTATTTTATAATACACATTACTCCTTTCTTTCCATCTAACCAGTTCATTCTGTCTCAAACATAATAATGCAATAGTTCTCACTGCTAGGTGATCAGCTCTTATTGTCAACATCATCTTGCTTCTTAAGAATGAAGTTATGTCAACTTCACACCATATCTTGCCTCTTTCATTCAGTGCACCTATAACAAATTACTACATTTATCCAAATATTAGATTTGTAAACTTTTCATGGTTGCATAGGTTAGGCAACTGTGATCTTGGTCTTAGAGCACCACAGTTTTGATAAACTGAATCTGTGGATGGAGAAATATGGTAAAATAAGTGTACAAATATTGAATTTTTAAGAAACAATCAGCTTCGTATGGTGTTTTAATGAAATTATTTTTTGATTTTTAAAAATTTCTTAAAATACAAACTAAATCATAAAATCAATCAAAGAAGCAAATGTAGAAATGGATAAAATAACTTACTTTTATCACGACTCAAAGTATTAGACATTTAAGTGAAGTTTCAGAAATGAAAGAAACATATAATAGCTGTAGAGTTAAATCACAATAGGAGTAGAGCTACTTCTACATCAGGTTTACTCTGTTTGACTGGAAGATGTTTGGAATTTGTACCCATGTATATGTGCCTTTTTATTTAATGTGGCTACTGTATCTCCTGAAAACTTTTTGCAGTGAATGAGGGTAGCCTCTTGCATACACGTTGTAAAAGACGACACTATGTGGTTTAATGTCGTAGCTAACATGAAAAACACTGATATACGTAAATTATTTCGTATGCATGATGTCTGTACATCTATAACTAAACAATTTGAAAACTGAAGATTAACAATTTTCCTGGTATTTCACTGTTTGGATCACTTCTAAAGAAACTACTTTCCTGTAACTCCTAAGCCTTGAATGGCTGTGGTGATGCAACTGATTTTACACAGTATGCTATCCTTTAACATTATTCAGACAGTGCAGCTTTTTCATGCAACAAAGAATATTCTGATCCTTTCTCCTTCACTCTCCTTTATGGGCTTTCCAGAACCAGATCACTATTTGTTGTTAACTCTTGTCAAGCATCTCTGTTCAAACACAGCAAAATTCATGATGTTAGTGTAAAAATAATTGACTTAGTAAATATTGCTCATTGAAGATTTCCAAAAATAATAATGAAAGTTTTGGTTGTAGTTGTAGACAAAATAAAAAAAAAGATAGAAAATAACTTATTTTGTAATGAACATTTTGGGCCTTAACCATTCAACGGGATTATATCAAATTTTTATTATAATAGAAAAATAAAAACTAAATCTCTAGTTATTCTAAATATAATTTGTAGTCTGGTAAGTTTACTTGTTTAATGAAAAATATTTAATATTACCTTCCATTTTCATGTTTGATTCATATGGCTTTGCTCAGGAAATATTAAGCTCATTTCTGTGCATATTAGAGTGAATCCACTTTACAGACTGCTAAAATAAAATACTTGTAGCAAAGTACTAGAAAATATTTTATTGCATGAAAATAAATCTATCAAATTTATAGGGAGAAATGAGAAAGCATATATTTTCCGCTTTCACTAGCCATCTCTAATTAAAATAAATTGCTTTCTGGGGCTGAGCTCCAAATCCTTTCTGTAGCTAGCAATGCTCTTCATTAAAATATGGCTGTGAAGTAATTTCTTTTTGCAAAGTGAATAAACTAATCACTTGAAAAAAAAAGAGAAATTTATTAACAGATAATCTGTCAAAACTTAGAGCCTAAGTTAAATTTAATAACTATCAATATTTAATGATATCTACTACTGATCCATAAAACGGTTTTCTAATAAAATAGAAGTATTATAGTAATGAAATTACATGATCCATAAGACATTGTTCTAATGATTTGGAAGTATTATAAAAATGAAATTACATGAACCATAAGACATTGTTCTAATGATTTGGAAGTATTATAGTAATGAAATTACATGATCCATAAAACAGTTTTTAATAAAATGGAAGCATTATAATTATGAACATACATGATCCATAAAACATTGCTCTAATGAAATAGGAGAATTATAATAATGAATTTATGTATTCGTTGGATATTATAGACAATATAGTTTTTTTATAGGTAAATGAATGTTGCATATAAATGGAGATAATTTGTCACAGAATAGCACATTATTGCATGTACTAATGTCATACCCTAAATAATGTTCTAAGTAGGTAGAAAACTGATTATTAACTTACTACAAACTGATTGGAAGAATAAGTTAAGAGAAAACTGATAAAATTCAGGCATATTTTGAAAAGGAAATTAAGAACTATATAATATAAAAATGACATTGCTAAATAACTAATCTTTTTACCACACATAATACCTTTTGAAAAATTACATTGCTCCAGGCCATAGTGAACTGTGAATCCAAGAATTCATTGTTTGCATCCCATATGTGAAAAACTGCATTCTTCACTTTGGGGGCCATTGGTGCAATATAACAGTAACAGTCAGATCCTACCATTCTGTTAAACAGGTGTAACCCAAAAGTTGGCAGTGAGTTCTGTTGACTAGCTACCATCCTCAAAGACTATAAGTTCATGGCAATGTACAGATGGCCAATGAATGGCTTTGTGAAAAAATTAAGCAAATAAACAAACTGAAGAACACAACTGCCATTAACACTTCATCCTAATGCAGACTACTGAACACTAAACATACCTGATGTATAAAGATGTAACTTATATGTATAATGATACAAAATAAGAGAGTTTTTACACTTAGTTAGTGGTGCTGTAAGACTTTATGGAATAGGTTTTCATAAGTATTACTATCTTTTGTCAGTGGATATATTAGCTTATTCTGGTATACATGTATGTATTTAGTGATAATATTAAATCATTAATCATGCCTTAAACTTA